CCCTGAATTCTTTGAGTTGTTGATATGAATCACTGAACCTATGCGGAGAAGAACCCCCCAATTTTGCAGCCAGCTGATCAGACTTGTGGGTGTCATGGGGGCCCCCAAACTTATGGCTGAGGTCTAAAGTAAGGGCAGTCTTGTGGAGGCTGTGCCCTTAAGTTGTAAAGTCTGGTCTCACTCTGGATGGTTGGTGTGAGAAGTCATTGCATGGCACGCAAGGAAGGGGCACCATGTGGACTGTGGTCAATGCAAGGAGACTGTGCCCTGGGGCCACAGAAGGCAGAGAGGCTACAGTGTTTCTAGTTCTTCCCACGTTCCTGCACTCAAGGAAGAAGATGGCCACCAAATGACTAAGTAGGCTGTGGATAATGGAGAGAAGTCTAATTGCATCTCTGTGTATTCTGCTCTCCGGTGCTCTCTTTCTCAGATGCTCACTGAGCTTCTGACTTTTCTTTCACACAGAGACTGTGTTAGATTGAATTATTGGCCTCATTGTGGTAGAGTGCACTTTACCACCCTTTAATTTTGGTTTTGCTTTGTGATTTTCTCTGGCCGAAGAGATGTTAGCAGAGGTTTGAGGCCTGCTTGCATGGCAATGCTCACTCTCTGTGATCATGCTCAGGTCTGTTAGGCCAGCCTGGCTCCAGAATTAAAACTGTGGAGCTGACTTGAATGAAACCCCTAACCTGGGGCAAGACCAACTGATCTACCTCCTAAAACAGATCAGATTCAGCTGACCTAGACCAGCTGACAGTCTATCTACAGAGCAATGGTATTGTAAGCCACCGGGTTTTGGGGAGAAGTTTGTTATACAGTAACAATGTGGTAATAGCTGATTGATAGAGTCCTAACATAAAGAATATTTTAACTTTTCCCATATTAGAAATCCTAATACTTTCTGATAGAGAATGTGTATATCTGACTATAAAATTAACGACTAGTGTTTCAGGGCCCCTACTATGTTCCAGAGGCTATGCTATGTGTCTTATACACATCATTTCTTTTTTTTTTT